CACTGTGTACATAATCAAGTGGTTTCTTTGATGTGTGAGTTCCGGTAGAGAACTTCACTCTGGTGGCCTTTCCCAACACACATTGTTCGCAAAACTCCAGTTTACTGACTTGATCTCCACATAACAGGTTTTGTCTAGACAGTTCTTGCAAGCCTCTTTCACTTATGTGCCCCAGTCTCATGTGTCATAGTTTAGTCTTGTCGGGTTTTGATCGTACTGCGTTAGAGAGGCTGCTAATTACAGTTCGTCCAATTAGGGAGTGAAGCCCATTCTTCCTGACTCCTTTCATGAAGATGAGGGAGCTTTTGACTACTTTGATGCAACCACTTTCTGCCTTGAACGAGTATCCGCTTGACTCCAGCGTACCTAAAGAGATCAGATTTCTTTTGAGTTCGGGAACGTAGCTGAGATGTTGCATTATTCGTTCGGCTCCATCGAACATCTTAATTCTGATTATTCCACTGTCGACCACCCTGCAAGTCTTGTTATCTCCTAGTAGTACAGACCCACCATTTGCCAGTTGCAGCATCTCGAACCAGTCCTTGTGAGGACACATGTGGAAAGAGCACCCCGAGTCGAGAATCCTCTCCTTACTGGATTCTGATTCGGTGATCACCAGTGCTTCAGCTGAATCATAACCATCTGAGGCAATGCTTGCTTCTCCAGGATCTTTAGGTTTTTCTTGAAATTTCTTCTTCCTCTCCGGACAGTTTTTTCGGAAGTGACCTTCCTTATGACACTGAAAACACTTGTAAGATCCTTTCGACCGCTGACTTCTGCCCTTCTTTCCTTTCTTTGATATTGATCTGCTTTGACTGTTTCTTGAGCCCTTTTTATCTGATCTTCCTCTAATGGTAAGACTGTCCTCGCTAATTTCTTTGTTCGTCTCGAGCTTCTTTTGGAATTCTTTGGCTCTGACCAACGATTGAACCTCTTCCAGAGAGATTGTTTGTGTCCTTCCATAGAGCATCACATCTTTGAAATGTTCGTAGCTCTTAAAAATGGAATTTAGTAGTACAGTTAGTAGTAGCAGCGCCTTATCCTCGTCATCCATCTTAACCTCGATGTTTTTGAGATCGTCGATAATCTTGTTGAACTCGTCGATATGCTCTGAGCCTGATTTGTCATCGTGCATTTTGAAAGAATATAAACGCTGCTTCAAGAAGAGCCTGTTTGCCAAGATTTTGTCATATAGAGGACCTCAAGTTTGGACCAAAGTGCTTGAGCCATTGTCTCCCTCAAAACTTCCCTCAGAATCTTATCGCCAAGGCTCAGGATTATTAAGCTATGGGCCCTGTCAAGAATCCCGTTCTTTCCTCGGTCATGTCGGCCGGAAATGCCGCGGAAATCCCGCCAAGCCTTGCAAGGCTTCTACAACGCCTTGCTGCACCAACAGAGCTTTCATGTTCACTCTCCATAGGCCAAAGTCGTTCTTTCCCGTGAATTTCTCGATGTCAAATTTTGCAGAGCCCATTGTCGTGGGTGGAATTCCCATAGACGACTCCAATTGTTGTAGACTCACCCCGCCGAGCACCTGAAAAATGTTTCAAAAGGAACCCCTACAGATTGAGTTAGATAGGAAAGATCTTTAATAAAAAAAAATTATCCAAGAACACCAGGAATTTCTTTCTTGTTCGGCTGTCGTAGCCAAGTCCGAACTCCTGCAGCCTACAATTTCTTGTTCGGTCTGGAGAACCAAGGACAAGACTGTCGTCTCCCCTTTGTTCGGTCTGAAGTGCCGAAGATGAGACTGAACTACGCGGTTCTGGTTGAAGACAAGATCGAACTCTGCAGACAAGACACAGTTCTTGTTGAAGAAATAGTCCTCCACGATTCGTCTCTCTGTGTTCGCATGAACCAGAGTCAAATGCAGTCCTGCGATCCTTCTTCCTCCCTGCTGCGTTTCTTGGATGCCGAAAGAGATGAAGACAACAAAACCAGGAAACAGAAGAAGAAAGGAAAAGGAAATTCTGCATATACGCAATGCCACAAAGAACACAAGAAGATTGTGTGGTTCGGTTCGTAGACCTACATCCACGGAGGGAATCACAAACAAATCACTACGAAAGAATTACAGGTTCATTACATTGAGAAATCACCAAGTCTCTCTAGATCTCTCCGTCTCTCTTAATACAAGATCTAAGACCTCTCCCTCAATTCTAAAGCATCTCCATTTCTTCCCCTCCTTACTGATTTTCTTCCTCCTCTTAATTCTCTTGATCAAAATTTTTCTTTCTTCTTATAGTAGTCACCCCACCTCACAAGACCCCTCATCTTTTTATAGATAGATGAGGCCTCCCTAGAGGCATGAAGAAAATAACAAGTGTGTCATTTGTCATAATTAAGAGCCATGATATATAATAACATAGGTGAAATGCAAAATTACTTTCGCTAAGTTTGAATTGTCTTGCTTTTGGGGTTCACAACTTATCCACAAAAAGTAGTTGCTTAAGCTTACAATTGAGTTCAAACTGTTCTTTACCTCAAGTCGGTAGCTCTCCTACAAGTAATAGCCACTTGAACTTCTGAGTAAGCATGTATTATCCTTCTCTTGTGGGCTTTAGCTCACCTATAGGGAGTAATCACTTGAACTTATTAATTTATGAGTTAAGACCTTGTGGCTCTTGGGGTCTATTTGGGGGCAGCTGTATATTATTGATAATCTGCTCATAAGCAGTTGATCCAGATAAGCTGCTGATCAATAACTGTCATGAATAAGTTGGATGACTGTTTAGTTTGCCCATTTGAAAACAACTGATTTGTAGTTGTTTCTAGACAAATGATCATTCTGTCCCGGTGCAGTAATGTTGTTTATGATAAAACTGTTATAACTATAATAAATTTGCTAATATTTGTTATTAATTTTTTAGTGCAATCCATATTTGTTATAATAGTACAAATTTAAACTTAATATTAATAACACATAAAGTATTTATATAAAAATTCTAATCCATTTTATAATTTAATAGTTTATTAAAGTTATAAATACAAATATAGGATAACTATTATATTTTATTTATACATTTAATATTAAATAGTTATTTAATATTAGTATTATTATTAATGTAGTAACATTATTTATTAAATTTTATTGTATAGTAAATATGTGTTTAATTAATTATAAATTCTAAATTATTAAAATTATATATTTATTATTTTAAATTAAGTGTATTTTATACTATAAATATATCTTAAAATTTATTTATTTTGAGATATAATTTAAATATATTTATAATAATATTTAGTTAACATTATTATAATAAATTTTAGGTCAATGTATTCATTATAATAAATTAATACACAAACATGTTATATGATTTAGTTAATACTTAATAAATAAATTTCAAATAAATATACAATAGTTTTTAACTATATATCTATAACTATTAGTGTATTATGTTGAAATACTTAATGTATAAACTATATTTAACTATGTATAATTATAATTTTGTTTAATTTAACGTTGTAAATATAAAAAACACTAATTATAAATATAGTTTATAAATAATAAATAACTATTTAATATAATATATAGTAAATTAATATTTATAAAGTATAAAGCAATATAAACAATTATGCATAGTAAATTAAAATAATTTAAGTATTAGAGGATATCTAATTTTACTTTATCTTTAACATTTATATATTTTAAATTAACTATAATGTATGTATAATTTTAAAATTAATTGTTATTATATATAAATTAACACAACATTAAATAAATTGTCACATAATAACACTAGCTCGGACAAAAGGTTCGAAGCACCGTGTAACTCACCAATAATACCAAAAAAATCATGTGAATAACGTCGCAGTAACACGTGAATACTACTGCAAATAACACTGCAAAACACCAGGAATTAATGGCTGGCAAAATGCGCGAATAATACCACGAATAACACCTGAATACAACTGCAAATATCACTGCAAAACTCCGTGAATCAACGACTGGGAAAAGGTGCGAATAATACTGCAAATAACACCGAAAAAACACCTGAATACTGCAAAAAAACACCGCAAAACACCACGAATCAACAACTGTCAAAAGACACGAATAATACCGCGAATAACACCACAACAACACTTGAATACTACTGCGAATAACACAAGAATCAATGGCTGGCAAAAGGCGCGAATAATACCGCAAATAACACGGGACGTGTGACCGCGAGGAGGACAAAGTTGTGAACAATTTTCTCCGAACGCGGGATGCAGGGTCAAACCTGCGGGCAACGTTTAATACAAAAGGAAATCAGGTTATCCCACAATGCTGCGAAGATGGAGAAAACAAACCCCAATATCGACATTTTGAAAACGCCCCACATGCCTTCTATGGTGCCAAACGGGTCCTTTGTCTCTAAGTGGGTAAATATAAAAAATTAAAATTTCAATAGATTTATAAATACGTAGAAAGAGTATGCTTTGCGCTCCCATCATATCCAAACCGAATTGAAATGGACTCTTTTTCAACTTTTGATCTACAGTCGTAATCACGATAGCAAAATGTAAAATTTTATGAGAACTAAATGAGCTAAGTGCATCCGTGCCGTGCATTTTGTGTATTGATTTCTAATTTCTTAATTGCGATATTATTTAAAGCTATAACACATCACTTCATTATAATGAACCAAACATATTCTATACATAGAAGTTGCAGAAATTCACAGCCACCATACGCATACTTCCCTAACGTTTAATTTCCAACACTTATAACACACTTATAAATACCCATAGAATAACCATTAGAAGAAAAACACACACTTCACATCTCTCTTCTTAAACTCTTAACAAAAAATGAATAGACCTTCGAGGATTATATTTGTCGTAGTCGTCCTATTAGTCGTAGCAAACTTTAATCTCGGTTTTGCTGTGCGCTACACTCCACCCCAATTCTCGACCAATGAAGCCCAAGCGGCTTTCTGCATGGCAAAGCTAGCCACTGCAACACAGAGCATGACTCAGAATGTTGCAAGGCGGGAGAAAAGTATCACCCCAATTCTCGACCAATGTAGCCCAAGCGGCTTCCTGCATGGCAAAGCTAGCCACTGCAACACAGAACATGACTCAGAATGTTGCAAGGCGGGAGAAAAGTACCCTCAATACTACTGCTCACCGCCAATCTCTTATGAAACACGCGCCACTATGACGATCAATAGCTTCGCCAAAGGTGGAGATGGTGGCGGCCCATCGGAGTGTGATGGCAAGTATCACAGTGATAATGAGAAGGTGGTGGCACTTTCCACTGGGTGGTATGATCATGGTAGCCGATGCTTGAAGACAATTAAGATTAATGCGAACGGAAAGTCAGTGTTGGCTAAAGTTGTGGATGAATGCGACTCTGTATATGGTTGTGATGCTGATCATGATTTTCAGCCGCCATGCCACAATAATATTGTTGATGCTTCTCCAGCCGTTTGGGATGCATTGGGAATGTCTGGAGATGATGTTGGCGACTATCAAATCACCTGGTCTTTTGCTTGACTTGTATCTTATATGTACGTGTATCTTATATGTATGTGTCCACATACTATTATGAATAGTTGCTTGTACTGGTCAATGTGTGTTGAATATCTGTAATTAAGATTGTGTGATGAGAAATATATGTACAGTTATCTTTATATTTATTTTTATGTTGTTAGTAATCGACATGTACATGTTCATATATAATCTCTTATTATTTTCCTAATTGAGTTCAAATTAGTACTTTATTTAAATAATAGTTGAGGATTATCGCTAACCAACATATAAGAAAGTGAGGTAAACGTGAAATAAAAAATTCAAGCCCGAGAAATCAATAAATAGTATAAAATTTCTATTGTTTATTATTATTTTCATTTTTTGTGTTTAAGCTTCTCAAAGCAACAAAAATAATTTATAGGCATGCAATATAAAGGGATAGAAGATCAAACCTAGGGAAAAATGTGATTTTTTTTTTCCAGAAATAGCTTAAATTAACCTTTCAATTTTTATTTCAGATAATTAAAGTTGGAACAATATATCAACGAACATTATTATAGATTCACATGCTACTACAAAATTTTTTATTAAAATAATTGGGCGAACATTTTAAAATTTTGCTTGTTATATACTGATGGAAGTAATTTTCAATAATAATATTTGAGTTGATAAAAATTACAGTCAATGGCTCTAGTTATATAATTGAAAGAAGTTTGTGGTTTATTGTTCTTATATGCAAGAGAATCGTCATTATAGACACTTCTCACTACCTCTATCATAGGTGTTTTTGATAATATTGACTTTATATATGACTAATCACTCTACTCACACGCTCATAGTTCGGCTTGGCCATGCATCACCCTCGAGTGGTGACTTTGATCTTCCTTTTGCTTTTCATTCAACTCCTCTTATTTTGGTATTTCCATCACTTAGTTCAGGTTCAATAAAAAATTCTTATCATTGTTTTCTCTCTACAATACAAAAACATTTAGCTTCACTATGGTTCCTAGCAAGCTGCATACTTTTGTGTTGTACTTTGAAGTTATAGACGGTGTTCTAGGTAATTGGAGATGTTTATGTCTCACTACTTAGCATCAAACATATTCTTATCACTTTTGCTTATATAGATCCATCCACATTGAGATGTTCTTTGTAAAT